CTAACTTTTATTTATATTTTCATTTAGCATCTTTTAATGATAGTGATCAATCGATCATCTCAAATATATCAAACGCAATGTCAGGCAAAGTTGCAACTAACCATCTTACCATAAGCAAACTGTGTGACATTCAAGGGGAAAGTTTGAATGAGCTAAACTGCCATTTACACGCTCTTGATATAATTGCTACCTCATGGCTGGGTATGATTGTATGGCATTTAAAATAGTTTTGGCTATGAACAAGTTGAGGTTTAAACATGGCAAAGGTGATTTAAAAAGATTTGTTAGTTTTTAGCTGATCAAAAACTACCACGAGGTATCATTCCAAGGTATCTAGGAAATTGTCTTCATATTTTTTTTCATACTTGTTTTATTTTTATTAAAAATTATAAGAGTTTGAGCATTTTTTAACCATTTAACATTATTATGCAGAACTATAAAAAAAGTTCTTAGAGCTGTATTTTGTAACAAAACAGCTCTAAAGAAAAAGTGTGTTCTTGCATTATTTGGAAAACCACCTCCTCAAAGTTAAATAAAACTTTGTCATCCAGTTTCCAGCCTGGATGGCAAAGTTTTGTGTGACTGTTGAGGAGGCAAATTTTGACCATTATAGTGGAATCCTGGTATTAAAAAATATTTTACTAAAAATTGCAGATTCTAAATCAAAACCAGGTTCACTTTTGAAAATGACCTTGAACCAAATATTTTAGATCCAATAAAAAATGTTTTGTTTGATTGATGAACACTTTATCAATATGACTTTTGCTTGTCTTATTGCAGTGGGAGATGTCATAACTCATTAATGTAAGAGATATTTCTCACTTTCTATTAACCAGACTCTCAAGGAGGAAGTAGCATGTGCAAGGCTTCACAATATAAATAGTGAAGAGTTAATGGGAATGTTTAGTGAGGCTGAAGAAAAATCACCTAATGCAACAGTTTGTTATGTTTCATACAAATTAAATTACCTAGATAGTTTAGATCAATTATCTAGAGAAAATATTGTTATGTGGTGGATTCAGAAACCCATAAAAATGTAGTTATGTGGTTGATTCAGAAACCCATGAAAATATAGTTATGTGGTCTATTCAGAAACCCATAAAAATATTGTTATGTGGTCTATTCAGAAACCCATAAAAGTATAGTTATGTGATCTATTCAGAAACCCATAAAAAGAGATGAAAAATCAAATGAAGCATAATGATATATGAGTAGATATTTCAAAAAAATATGTATGCAAATGCCAAAAAATGGATGAAAAAGACAAAAGAAAGTTAAAATGACAGTTGCTTGAACTCTTTTACAATGAAATAAAGTGTTTAAATACATTGTAAATACAACTTCATGACTAAGATGATGTAATGTCAGATAGAATTGTTGGGCAAAAACTTTGCCATGAATGGTACAATAGTAAGTATTCAAAGTATGACATGTATGATCGTAGAGAATAAAAAAACTTGATAAAACAAAACAAGACAAAGTTTACACAATTTCTTACTGGAATAAAGGTAATACTGATACTGACGCTGTTGACTACAACATGAAAAAATTTCAGCTTCCGCTGATGTTGGACTAAGAGAGTTGATTTTTTTTTGAAGTGTAATATGTAACAACTTATGATATTTCTTGTAATGAAGCTTTAAAAATAGATACTGCAAGTGATAAAACTTACAAAACAGATACGGCATATGATGAAACTTGTATAAAGGTATTGTAAGTAATAAAACTTGAAGTAGTCATATCAAGTCAGGTATGCCTAATATTAAACCATATGTTTTTGTTTTACTTTTTTTTATAAATGTAGTTAGAGAAGAATAAAAGTATTTGACTTGCAATGACCTTTGCACAAGTGTTGTGACTTGCAAAATATTTTGATAGGCAGCTCTGGCTTATCCTCACGTGGTGTCTATTGTTACAAATGATTATTATAGTGTTCCATTTATGAAATTGACTCTTAATTATTTACTAAAAGCTAAGACAACTATTTAAACTTAGGATATCTAAAATGTTTTAATACAGAACAATAAAATTGATTGTTACATTTTTTTATAGGATACAACACTGATATTTTTGGTAATGAAATAAAATATATTTAATGAAATATCAAAAAATGAAATATACTAATTTATTTTGTTTGTTAAAGATACAATTATTTTTAAGAATTCAACATCTTTTTATTGTAGGTTGTGGGTAACCATTACCACTCTATTTAACAAACTTCTCAACTTACCAAAATTTACGAATAGCAGCGAAAAGACTTTTTTTTCAAAAGTAGGCTCGGTTGTGGTCTTTATCTTTAGCTTGTAGATTATACTTGGTGCAAAAAGCCTAATTCAGGTTTTAAATTGTTAACTTATTTTAAATTGTTAACTCATTGTCAGGTTTTAAATTGTTAACTCATTTTAAAATAATTATAGTTGTTATTATAAAGATTGATTTATTTTACTTATTTATTTTTTTAGGTTGGAGGGGGGGGGCACACGCCCCTCCCACAAGTCAATAAGCACACCACCAATAAATGAAATTCTTGTAGCAAAAAAATTTTTTATGTTTTTTATACTGTGTACTAGTTTCACTTATTTTATTAAATATAGAAATATTTATTTATAATTAGAGAATTAAATATTTTTGAAATTAGGGTGTGTTAAACCATCACCACCATATCCACCACCAACTTTAATAAACATCAATGATTGACGGTCTGGAATAAAATTATAGCAATTTTTTGTATAAAAAAAATAACCGTTTGTTGAAAAAAAAAACTTTTTATTGAAAGAAATATGCTTATTTTTAGGGTAAAGGTGGTGGTTCGGCACCCCCTCTAGCCCCCAGGAAACGCCCAATAGATGGACGATGTTATAAATTTGTAGCCCACAGTTACACCTATCTTTTGATACTAAGTTATAGGTATTTAGACAAGAATTGACAAAGTTATAAAAATTTAAGTAAAGAAAAATTAAATTTTGACCACAGTTTCTTCAACAAATCCATATATCAAAAATTTGCGACTAAAAACGTCATAACTTTTTGTACAATAGTCCGATTTTAATAATTTTTTCACCTTTAAAATACTGTATTGAAGCACTTTCTTATGATATATAACAATCTAACCTTTGATCAATTTAAAATTTTCAATCCACATACCTAATATATATATATATATATATATATATATATATATATATATATATATATATATATATATATAGTAGATATATATATATATATATATATAGAATATATATAGAATATATATAGAATATATATATATATATATATATATATATATATATATATATATATATATATATATATATATATATATATATATATATAGAATATATTTATCTGAAGTTTAATAAAAAAATTATTGAAATCCTACCCTCAGATTTTTAGAAAATTGATTTCAAATAAATAAACAAATCTATGATTTACACTAAAAAAGTATTAAGTAAAAAAACAGTTTTAGCGCGCAAAGATTTTTGTTACCTGTATTTATTTATATTTTTGTGAAATTTTTGTATTATTTTATTGATTCACGTTAACAATAAGGCTATATCATTGACTTTTCAGAAATTAATTAACAAATAAACTGTTGCCATATAAAATTTTCTCTGTTGTTAAGAACCGTAGCCATTTTAAAAGTAAAATAGTTTTTCGTATTTTCTGACGCATGCGTACCTTAACATAGCGCTTTTTACTAATATCTAAACGACCGTGTAAAACGATTAATTTTTATGACCTAGCTTACGATTTTTTTAAATGTTTTAAATTTTATTTTTTGTAAACAATTTTTTTTTTTTTTTTTTTTATTTTGTTAGATATGAATGAGATAAAATCTTTAAAAATAATTTTTTAATTCTAACGCGAAACGCTCATTAAGTTCTAATGCTCAAATTAAAATTGAATTAAAAAGCTTGTTTGCAGTTAATTTATTTAAATCGCAGGCGAATTTTTTTTTTTTTTTTTTTTTTCTATTTTTACGAATAAAAAAGTTCAAAACCTTTTTTTTAATTAGACTCACTAGTTAGAGCATGAATTTAGTAAAAATTACTATTTTAAATAGACTATGTTATTTTTTTAAGCAATTTTTTTTTTGCAACTTTTTTGACAAAATTAATGTTTATACAATTTTAAAATATTATACAAAACACTTTTTAATAAATTTAATAAAATTTGTTCTTTTATTAAACCAATCAACTTTAATAACGCTTAAAAAGATATAAGTTTATTTCATACGTAATTAAAAACGTAACAAAAAGTTTTGCTTCGAGTTTAAGTTTTTATCTTTATATCAGTGCTTATATAATTTCTTTTTCGTTATAAATTTGTTTTTCGTTTCTTTTTTCGTTAGGAATTTTTTTTTTTTTTCGTTAGTTTTTTTTTAAATTTTTTTCCTTGTTTTAGTTTAGCTTAGCGTTTCTACATTCAGAACATTTCTGAAATTTTTAACTCATCAAAACATATAAACATTGTTTATTAAACAATCGTGGTCAAGTTGTTAAAAAATAAAATGATTTGCGTGGTCAGCAATAGCGCTTGATCGCACGCCATTCCTGTCAAAGCCTGTATTAAGAAATATAATTACAACGAAACGTTTACATACAAAAAAAGTGAATTTATAAAAAACAGGCAGGGGCTCAAAGAAGATACGGATGACTAAAGTCACCACAATCTTTTCATAGAGCCCCTAGGTGGGCTTTACAAGTTAAAAAAAAATAGTATCTTTAATATAATAAAAAGGTTAAAGCTTGCATAAATATTTCCATTAAATCAAGAAAGTAAATAACATCATATAGTTTTATCAATATTCATTAAAATATATTGGCAACTCTGTAAAATATCAAAATAAGAGCTAATTAACAAGTAAAAAAACTAAAAATAATGGAACTCGATTTTCATTTCGAAAAATCAAGAAAACTATTTATCTAATTTAAAAATTTCATTTTTTATTATAAACTTAAAGGAATTTAATGATTTTACAGTATTTAAATTTTTTGTTTTTTGAAAAGTGTTTCATAGTTTTGGTCCGCGGTATGATATTCCATATTCAGAATAAGTCTTGGTAATTTATAAGTATTCCATTGGTTTGTTCTAAGAGAATGTTTTACATTTTTTGTAAATTTATAATTAAAGTTTTTTGGAATCAAGCTGTTGTTACATTTACACATAAAAATTAGGTGTTGGTAAATGTTGATTTCATATATATTCATCATGTCTTCCATTAATGGTTTTGCATGTTCATATTTTTTTATATATATATAAGTCTGCATGCATGTTTTGTAAAGAAAATGTTTTTTAAGTTTTGTTGGTTGAGTACTAGCCCATGTGATATTGGCATAGTATATGAAACAATGAATTAGGCCAAAATATACTAATTTCAGACTTTCTCATGTTTCATATGGACAAATACGGTACATCAGACCAATTGTTTTACTAATTTTCGATTGAATCTAATTAATATGGGGAAGCCATGATAAATTTTCATCAATAAGAATTCCCAAGAATTTTAATGAATCATTTTTAGTAATTAATGCATCATTTAAAAATCAAATCAGGTAATTTTAAAGGAAGTTTTTCATCTTGTGATTTTTTATGAAATAAAGTATATTTTGTTTTATCTACATTGAGTGAAAGTTTATTTGCCTCAAACCATTCATCTACATTCATTAGTTCAGAGTTCATGTCAGAATACAGTTGATTAATGTCACAGAAAGGAATAGATTTGTGTCGTCAGCAAACATTATTGAGTTGAGCTTAGCTGATGCATTATGAAAATCATTTACATAAATCAAGAAAAGCAATAGACCAAGAATTGACCCTTGTGGAACTCCACACAAAATATTAAGTTGACCTGATTCCTTACTAATAACATATTGTTTTCTCTCAGTGAGGTAGCTTTTTAACCAATCATAGGTTTTATGTATCACTCCGTAGTGTTTTATTTTTTCCAAAAGAATTACGTGATCAACCGTATCAAATGCTTATGATAGGTCAATAAATAATCCTAGAGTGAAGCTATTATTTTTAGTAATTTGGTTTACTATTTCAATTATTGCGTGTTCTGTTGAATGTCTTTTCCGAAAACCAAACTGTTTTGTGTAAAATAAATTATTTTCATTAAAATGGTTATAGATTCTATTATAAATTACACGTTCAAATATTTTTGAAAATACAGAAAGTACTGATACAAGTCTATAATTAGAGATTTCAGATTGATCATTATTTTTGTAAATTGGACATACTTATGCCAACTTTAATGCTTCAGGAAAAATCCTTTCTTTTATTGAAAGTTTTATAATATGGAACAAAGGTTTTGAGATGTATTTTTTGTTTGAAATAACTATATTACTAGAAACATCATCTTATTATTTTTTAAAAAAGAAAAAGCAATTTCATACTCTTCATGAGAAAAGTCGCAATCTTGCAGTATCGCGCCATTTAAAGATTTAAGATATTTTTGAAAAGAATTTGGTGTAGTTATGATTTTTTTAGCAAGGTTAGGCCCAATTTTTGTAAAATATTTATTTAACTCATTCGAGATTTGTAATGGACAATAGATATCATTTTTATTGATGTTTATTCTTTGAGGTAGTATAGCAGTATTTCTTCCCATTATTTCTTCCCATTATATCGTTAATTAAATCCCATGTTTTTTTCACATCGAATTTGTTTTTTGTAATTTCTTTACTATAATATGTTTTTTTAGCTTTCTTGATAGAAGCGTTTGTATTTTTTATAACTTTTTTCATTAACTTCAGCTCTGTTTTTTAAAAATTTATTGTAAAGTTTTGTTTATTTCTTGAACATTTTATAATAGTTTTATCCATCCAAGGATTCAATACTGTTTTTTGTTTTTTTGTTATTTTAAATTCATACGGGCTCGTTTCGTTATAAATATCAAGAAATGTGTTTAAGAAAATATTAAATGCTTTATTTGTATTATCACAATTAAATGTACAAATTTAAGACTCCACACTAAAAGTTAAAGGAATTTTCCGAGGTTTATTACTAATGGCTGGCGAAAAATTAAATGTACAGTTTTTTGTTGTTGATAAATTGGTAGTGCTTGTAGTTGTCGGAATGGACGTACTGACACAACATTCTTCCATAACTATTAGCTTTAATGGAAACAAAGAACCGCTTAAATTTTGCCTCGCTACAAATAGCATGAAATGTAACACTTATGCATTAATACCGGGAGTAGATATTGATAAAATTAGGCCTATTGCAACAAAATTACGGCGGAAACAAAATTACCGAAAACGTTCTATTTTTAACCGAAGAAATTAACCGCATGCTCAAACAAGATATAATTCAAGTAACCCGTAGCTCTTGGCTTGCTCAATGCATTATGGTATCCTCAGGACATAAAAATTGCATAGTGATGGTCTAATTAAACATACTTAACTTACAAACGCCTCTAGATTCATACCCAACATCACGTATTGACGATATGTTATTTAAAATAGCAACGATATGTTCCAGCGATAAGTTCCAGCAGTATGTATTAAAAGAAACCGGTGAAATAGTTTCAACCCCACCAAGTATGCTTGAGAACTCGATAATGGATGGTATCACATATACCATAGCATTAAAAGTAGGCATACCCG